TCCCTGATTTTGCTGGTATGAGCATTTAGCCCTGATTTAGGATCATTGACAATTTGACATTTCTTTTACGTTTTTTTTAATTTCTATTATTTCTAAAGTTTTTAAACCTTTTTTCTCCCCCATCTGCATCGTTGAATAGAATGAAAAAAAAAAAAAACAAGAAGAAAGAATTATGAGGGCCTTGTTCCACCTCTTGCCAAATCTCTGGGAATGGTGGGTGGATTTTTTTTTTTTTTTTTTTTTTTACCGGACCGAGCATATACTAGGAGAGGTGATAAGAGCATCCCCTCCTGGGTGGATATTGCAAGAGAGACCCACCCAGGAGGGGCCTTGAAGCTTCTGATTCTTTTCTTTTCCTGTCTACCGTATTTCCTTCTTTTTTAAAACTGGACTGGTGCAATCAGACTCACTTTCATTCACACTTCACATGCATGTAAACAGGTTGCGCAGCAAACTGGCGACAAGCGCCCACTCCAACTCAGAGATATGGTGATCAGAAACACAGTYTAGATRCAATCTCACTGTARATGGCTATGGCGCATCAGCGCCTATACAAATCTCTGTTCGTCACTCACACAACACTGCTGTTCACACACCGGACCACCCTGGATACCCCACACACAACACACTCTGTACACTCACACACACCCGCACACATCTACAGCTATGGCGGCTATGGCCGCTGCTACCCTATCGGTATGGCTAAGCTTCTTCTCGCCCACTTCGTCCTTGGGCTCACTGCAGGCCACCTCGCACAAGTCGCTATGGCAGGGCTTCCGCATGGCTTACGCAGGAAATGAATGAATGGCTGGGCCCTGCCTCTTGATTTATACTTCTGTGACTCACTGGTCTGCCCTTTTCCATCGGCCCATGGTGCACACAGTCCCTCATGGTACTTGCTGGACTGGACTGGGACTGACTGGACCGGTACCGCTGACTGCATGGGTTTGCACCACCGCAGACTCACTGCAGTCGCACTGCCAACGTACTGAGGTTGGCTCCACCACGTGCCCACTTGCCTCTGCCTAAACGTGAGCCCACTCCGAAAGGCCACTTCCGGGACCTTCCGGAAGTCTGTAGCCTTGGCCTTTCGGGTACTGTAGCAGCTACGACCTTGACATCTCAGGACTATAGCAGCTACGACCTTGACCTTTCAGGATCCCTACAGCTACGACCTCTACAGGGCTGTGACTCCTACTCGACAGACCTACAGATCGAACCCCTACCACTACACAGACCTACGACAGACAACAACAACTGTCAGAACACAGGTCACGGGTTCAAACACTCGGGGTCGACACAGATACTGTACACAGGTAAGGTGAGAACTAGGGATCGAGCCCTGGGATCTTCATTCGCTACTGCTAAAAGGTGAAAACCGTTTCACTGGCCATCTTGATATTTGTTGAGCAATCCAACGCGGCCCTTGAAGCTTCAAATTCTTGTCTACCTTTTTTTTCCTTTCTTTTTTTTTCCTTTCTTTTTTTTTTCCCCTTCTTGAACCAATGCCATCTCCCTCCTTAACTCGCCTCCATCATTACCTCACTCGCATAAGCTCCGCCTTTTTTTCTTTTTCTTTTTGTTTCCCATTCGCTCCTTTTCTTCTAATAACCTCCTCCTTTTCAATCCAAATGAAGGCCAAACAAAATTGACAATGCTCTAAGGGCATACTCACACTAGCACTATCTTAAATGCATCCGACCGCATTTTCGGCCGAACCTGTATGCATCTGGCCGCAATTACGTCCAGAAATAAGTAAAAAAGTGCTAGTGTGAGTATGCCCTAAGACTTCCGAATTCTTTCCTTTGCTGGGATTTTTCTGACATTTACTCAAGTTTTTGCTGGCTGTTTTCTGTTTTGCCCCTCAGATCTTTACTCTGCGCAAGCTGCTTCCCCAAACACCGGCATACGATTTCAACATACACGTAAGTGCACATGTCCCACCCCGGACCCCCGGGACCCCCAGGACCCCCTGGACCCCCTGGACCCCCAGGACCCCCAGGACCCCACAACCGTTCTTGCCTGTTGGGAATCCCTTTGCATGCACCCCATGTGGAGTCCTCCCCCTTTTATGTTGATGGGGTCAGACGAAGGTGGTCCCCCCCGCAACCGCAATAGAATGGAGCCACTCGCCCATGAGGATGCGTCTTTTTCTTCGTCGACTGTCTGGAGACTGTGGAAGCAAACTCGCCAGAATTATTTGCAGACCAGTGGAGTAATGACAGGACTGTTCTGTTTCGCAGAATTATTTGCAGACCAGTGGAGCTACTCCCCTTTTTGAATGCTTCAGCATCGAAGCGAGTCTAGCGTGACTCACACAGTCGTTGGTGACGTGGATCGAGTTGGCGGATCATAGGGTTGGCGTTCAGATGGAGATGGCAGCAGTGTTTGTGCATCGAGCCTGCATTTCTTTGATTTCTATCACTCGAATTTGAACAGCAGTTTGGTTTTTGCTGAAGACTTTTGTGGTTGCGTGTACTTCGCTCGAGTGCTTTGTGCTATTACTACTTTGCGGTTCCATGTACCCTGTGCTAACGCTTCGTGCTGTTGCTACTTGGTCTCTCTCTCTCTCTCTCTCTCTCTCTCTCTCTCTCTCTCTCTCTCTCTCTCTCTCTCTCTCTCTCTCTCTCTCTCTCTCTC